AGCCTCTGTCGGGCACCGTTAGCCTCTGTTAGGCAACATTAGTGAAACTTTTTTTGAAGTGGATGCAACTTTCTCGGACTCGAACACTAAGTGAATAAACTCTCACATGATGTGAGAATGAAATCAAACTGTTAAAGAGAAGAACAGACATGAAAAGTGTTAGCTTATAACCAGCTGTTGTTGTTGTTTAACCAGTGCTCGTCAGGCTTGTCTAATCGGTAAAAAGTAATTAGGACAACATCAGGAATAAATGAGCATGTTTATGCACTTTTCACGTGTTACCGATTAATTATACGTTTAACAGAATGTGAGTTTATTTTTCATGAGAATCATGAAGAGGATTAAATACCAATAATACAAATATGAGTTTTTGTACCAAATAGCCTGAAATAATCACTCACTGTATCTTTAATGTTCCTGTGTGGTTTGGATTCATTGCTATGCAAACAGTCAGTGAGAGCTTCCTGCAGAAATCAGGCTCCATTAAACAAACTTTTCATTACCCTGATAACTTTTCCTGCCAGTGTGAAGCTGCTTCGTCCAGCACTGCTGATTAAAATCACTCCTCTAATTAAGAGGCTACTCAAATCGTTTGTAAAGCAGCTTTAATGATGAAGCCTGCAGCTCTCCACCTGCCTGCACCCTCTCCTGTCTGTCTGATAGCAGTCCAAGAACTCCTCGATCTCTGATGCTGAAACCTCTCCAACGAGCTCGTGAATAAGCCGCTAACGAGCTGCCAAGGCCAGCGGAGGGTTCGTCGACAGCGGTATTCCTGCCTCCGTTTCTCCGAGTGCCGCTCATTGATGTGTTAATGAGAGAACAGCTGTGTCTGTCCAGGAAGCTTCGACTCCTCCGCTTCCTTTTGTTCTCTGTGGGAACGTTCGATTTGTTTTGTCACGTCTGAGTTTGGAAGTTCAAACGTCTATGCACACAAAAACAGCACCGGGTGAAACTTCTATAATTATATTGCTAGTTGCTCTATACAGAAAATGGCTGAAAGCAAAGGTGTCATTTGGCAGAGGTCAGCTGACCACCTTGTTGTGGCATCACTGAGAAGCGGGTGCGCATTTTAACCTAGACCACGACGAGCTCCGCCTAAACCCTGACCAAAAGTAGAAAGTGGGCGGGGGAAAGGTGATGCTAATTGCAACATCAAGATAAAAAGGATCTATGGGGGCTTGATGCCAGAGGAGGTCGGGGTGAAAATGTGTCATCTGTGGTTTGGGTGCAGCGACTTACGTCACGCTGAAACTCACCTTGTGTTTAAATGGCAAACATCGCTGGAGCTTGACTTGTAAGCACAGGCCTGCAGACACAGAAGAAGCCCATCAGACACTGACGAAGAGCAACGTTAGCAGCAGATTAGACGAGTGTGTGTCAGAGTTTACTGAGCAAACAGGAACATCAAACATGAGAAGAAGCACATGCTTCATCTCATTTCCAAAGAAAGTCTCCAAACCCGGAGTTGGAAATCAAAGCCAAGTAAAAACTTCATGACAATTGTTGGGTCCAAACATGCGACCCTGCTGGAATTAGACCACGAGACTGCAAACACAACACCCGTACGTTTTTACTTGCAAGGGGAGACTGCGCTCAGAGAGCTAACACAAGCACCGCTGTAGCCAACACGCCAGTTTTTTAGTCAACTCAGTTACACAACCCCCCCACCATAAAACCCCTGTGGCATGCCATAAAAACTAAGGCACTGTGTGTGAGCATGTGAATGAATGTGTATGTGTCTGTGTGTGTCTCTGTATGCATGACTTCCTGCCACACAATATATGCTTACAACTGTTTAACCACATTTCCTGGTTATCCAAAGGTCATCTCCCCACACCTGTATACAGCTTAACTTTAATGGTTCACCATATACAAGCATAGGGGAACATCCTTCACAAGATGAGGAAACCAGGATCTCACATGGAATGTGCCTGTAGTTAACCCTTTAAAGCCGGTCGGAGCAGCACGCTCTGTTTTGCGTAACTATTTTTAAATCCCGGTAGCTCTGCAACCACGTGAGCTAGCGCAATAAT